AAAAATTTTGGCGGGCTCTTACGCGGGTACCACGCGGGTAGGACCGCCCATTTTGGGGATGGGGGCTCGTGCGTGCATGTGGATTAATTCCCCAAAGTTTCAGCCCTGTAGCTTTCGTGGGTCTCGAGATGAAAAATCGGTACAGACGCTCAGCGCACACACAGACACACAAACACACACACACACACACACACACACAGATAACCTCTCGTCAATATGCGTTTTTCGCATTGCACTGCTGCAAAAAACGCATAATAAGCAGTCTTCTTCAGACAAGTTGCAATACACAGAAAGAGAGTATCAATGAAATGTGCTGATAACGCAGACTGTACAGTATGGGCAGTGCCAAAATCTGTATACGTTAGCTATAGCAATGTACGTTCTGCGGAACACGAGGTGGCGTCAGTTGTGTAAATCGCAGGAATGATTCTTTGTTACGTGATAAGTCGCCGACATCAAAACAAATCCGACTGTCGGAATCCAAAAACACTGAAAGAGTCTGAATTAATTTCTCTGTGCTTTAATTACAGTTCGGCTTCGAAGTTAGAAAAATTTAGTTTTCAGTTTTTCTCTTGAGTTTATGATTCGTAACATTTGCTCGGATTATTAACTTTCAGTGGGAAGAAGAAATGTGGCGACGAAACAAGAGTTGGTCAAAGCATATGTATGTATCAGCTTTGAACTCACAACGGTAATGAGATGAAGTCCAAGCCGAATTCACCCGTGCCTCATCCATCTGCTGCACTAAGATACATTCTCCCATTTCTAGCATTTCATATCCACTGGGAAAGTACGTCAATTCTTTTAAGTCGACTGGTTCTCGAGCTTACGACTACTGTGCTCCAATGTACGTCCCCATTGCTAGCAAAATAAGCAGTCTAGCAAATTTCTTTTATCGTGAAGATTCCGAAACTTTTAGCCGACAATACATCTGATGAACCGATTTGCAGGCCCAATTCCTTACTTTTACTTCATATACTAAACTGCTATAACGGCGCTTTCGTAGAGGTTTATCTGCGAATAAAGCGCTTCCGTCAACGAATATGAATTAGGAAACTGTTCATCGTTAATCTTTGAGTCTTGTTTCAAGCCCGTTTTACTAATTACGTTTTGAACGAGGGCGCAGAAGTCTTGAGCAGGAAATATGACCACGTTATTCGCGTTTATTCATGCTCGTACATTTATGCAAATGCAAAAACGTATGTTGTCACAAGGTTGTCTATCTTCTAATTACGAAGACAAGTGAATTTTTTCAACCATTTTCAATTCAGCAGTTGGAGGAGGTAGGAAACTAAAATTTTAGGAGCATGTTCCATCGCATGCATCACACTTCTTTAAAATCAACGCTCAAGTACGCTGGGTCATACGTATGGACATCTAAAACAAGAAATGCAAATTTCTTAGCGGCAAGTGATTTCTGAAATAGAAAACAAAACTCATTTTCGCGGCACTTACTAAAACCCGGCTTGGCTTGGCCGTTCAGTACATACTCAGTTCTTACCTCCAATCGGGATCAGTTTTACAGTCAGTAACCGCGCTTCCTGAGACTTCAGTCATCACCCTTAGCCCTAACCCCACTCCCTCCGTCTTCAGTCCTTTACCTCCACTCCCCAGTCATTGCAACCGACCTCTCGAAATGGATGACCGAGCCCAAAGTTACCAGTTTCACAAGGATGTTCACTGTGTATGTGCCAGCTTCCAAAGTCAAGTATGCTTGCGTCACGCGTATGAGCACGTTGAAGTTCGTCATCGGTACCATGCCAGCTCAAGAATTAGCCGGGAAAAGATAAATGCGAAAATATTTGCTATCCAAGTGAAGACTCCCCCACCTAAGCTAGTATTTGCATTGTGCCTGTGTCAAACATAAAGGCACACTAAGAAAATTTGTATCGAAGCGGCGACATCGAGAAAGAGACAACCGAGGAAGCTGAAATGTTACGAGAACATTCTTTGCCTACGTATGAGTTGAAGGGTCAAGACGCCTTCTAGGTGCGTCTTGGTCTTGCGCTATGTGCAAGCAAAATTTCAATCCTGAACAATTTTTGCACTTACTTATTCCAGAAACCAGAAGAAATAGGAAGCTGCTGTTTTGTAAAGATATTTACAATTCAAGTACAAGACTACGTATAAGATTTTGCTTTTGTGCACGGTCTCGTAAAATTTTCGACTGTAAACTTTCGGTATTCTGTTTCTCGCTATCACATAACTCAGAAAGCATAGCAGAAATTACTTGAGAATGCTAGCGTATCTTGTTTGCCACTGAAAGCGTAAATTCAATTTTCATAAATGTCTATGTCTAGCGTGTGGATAAGGCGAACTTGACGGTATATTTTGCCAACAGTAGCTTCATGCAAAATTTATGTCAATTATGTATTCCGGAGGACAAGATTCCTATGCGATCCCATAACGTAACACTATTGTTCTAGTCGGTGCTTCTTCCCTCCGCAAGCTTTTTATTGGATTCTGAAAATAGTACCGAGGAACACGATATTAGCCCAGAAGTGCGTGCATCTCCATTTGACAACCTAGGCTGGAATGCACCAGGCGAGCCGGTGTGATCATGCGTTTTTGCACTTTTCGTGCCGTAGCAAGATCGCAAGGAATCACAGTATTTAGCATTGTGATATACCGGCCCTCGAAGTTCGGGAAATTAATTGTGCATCTTTGTGGCATGTCAGCTGTAGATGTCGAGTTCAGTGACCCGACAAATGGAAAATTGATGGTCCGCGAAAAAAGCCACACTAGAAGAGTAAAATTTGAAATCTTTTAGTCACACGTGAATAGGGAACACCCCCTTAAAATTAAAGCCTTCCAGATTTTCTCGTTCCCGAGTTGGCAGTTTTCCCATCAAAATTTCCACGTGTCCGTACGTGAGCACCGAA